ACTTTTTAACATTTACTATACAAATCAATCAAATAGGAGCATCTTAAGGCACAACTTATCTCGTATTCATTCATGAATTGACGGCAATTTTGACAAATATCATCGCCGTTATTATTTTCGTCATCAGAACAACAACATCTATTTTTAACATAATCTATGATGAACTGCAAACACTCATCATCTTTTTTACATTCAAATAGGTTATCTCGATGCTTTGCACATATCCAGCAACGACTGACATTACTCAAACGTTCTTCGATGACCGAATCAACCAGGCTTTTGAGCATTTCAAAATTGATACGGATGTCCGCCTTGAGAATTTTCTGAAAAGAAATCTTGAACTCCGCTCTACGAATTTCAATCAATCCTATTCAGAAAATTTTCATGCGGAAATCATCTTCCTCGAAATTGAATTCTATTTGATAAGATTATATTGAAAACCGATGATGCATGTTAAGTTCCGTTCTCGCATAGAATAATAATTAATTGACTGCAATATCCAAAAGATAAATCTCCTGGGTTAATTGATGCGTCAAAAATGAATTGATGATGAAATAAAGGATAGTTTTAGAGAGTTTGTCTCCTTGGAAATGGAACAGTTTAAAGAGTTTAGATTATATCCCGCAAGCATCATTGAAAGCGCTATTGAAAATACGAAACATATTGCTAATACTCACTGCTAACCGTAATGAATTTTAAACTGCTCAACAATAAGGTCAGTAAAACTTCTCTATAAGAAATATGTTAAGTTCACAGCTCGTTCATCTTTCAAATGATTTTCTTTCCGCAGTAAAAGACTCACTTGACATTGTTCATTAAATTCCTCTTTGCTAAAAACATCTTTCACATCGTCGATCTCATTTCGTACGTCCACCAAACGATTGCAGATCAACGCCAGCACAATATCCACATTCGATGCATTTATAAAGTTATGGTTTATTGAAATAGCATCTTCCTTAAATATTCATTTGAAGATGCATTCCAGATCCTATCCTTGCTAGTATTCGTTGAGGCCAACAACGATATGCCTCGAATTAAGCGTTCACGGTTCAATATTTGGTGCAAATCTTCCCGATATAACCCTCATGATCAAATTTATCAGTCTAATAACGATGATAACATAACAATAATCAGAAGTGGTACTGACCAAATTATGCACTTGATGATACCAATTTGATGGCACAAAAACAATTTCACCGGGCAACTGAATGAACTGAATAACGTTCGCTTGCACGAATTTAGTTTCGTCGACTCGAATGTCTTCGAAGAATCCGTCTCGATCCTTTCTGAACAGCTCCTCCTGGCCTGGTGGCACAAAGTACCACAATTTACGACCACATATATTTGCAGACCAACTGTACGAACTCATTACATCGCTGTGGAATATTGTCCTACAATATTTTTCCAATGTACATTCGAAACTCGCCCACATATGTATAATCTGAACGAAGGGAACACGATATTTTTTCCGAAGATCCATGATTTTCGATTACCGACAAGCGCGACTTTTCTCGAAAACTAAAATGTTATCAGCCTTTCGATGAATAAGAGAGCTAAAAGAGCAAAAATGAATAAGAGAGCTGGATGAAGGCACTGATAATGTAGAGATAAGTCAAGATATTAATTGAAACGTCCATACATTATTATGGAGTGCTAAGTAATCATTATGAAAACGAACCATGAGTTCTTAACACCAAAATAAACGAAACGGTAATCACCAAACGGATCCTTCCCACTTTGATCTGACCATTTTTCGTTATTGATCCAATCGAAACGCAAAAATGATGGTAAATCATAAAGTGCATACGACGTTCCCGATTCTCTTGAATTGCTCTTTTATTCATTTAACATTGTTGAAAGTGATAATATCAAAGAATGCAAAAGAATCATTACCAATCTTACCGTTATTATGATTAATATTAACATTATTATCACTATCTCTGTACGATGAAAGTCAACACTTACGACACTAAAGTCAAAATCAACTTGTTAAAAAGATTATGACTATGTATTCCTTCAGTTATTATGCAAATTCTTCCCATAAATATTCAACTGAGAACCTTTGAAAGTGCCAATCTTTCACATATTTTGCAGTATCGTCACTAGCATTC